TTAAATACACATTAAATTATAAGAAGATTTCTTAAGTCACTTTTTAGCTGACTAGTAATTAAACGAATACACGTCACTAACCTTTAGTTATTTATCTTATCTCTCCCACCTGACTTGAAACACGTGTTGAACACGTAAGAAGATATAATGTATTTGAAACCCAAGTAAAACGGTGACAATATTATCTATCTTTAGTAATAGTTTTAAATATAAAAACTTAATTTCTCTTATCTTTAAGTTAGTAAAAACACATAAATAATATGAAAATAACTTAAATCTAACAAAAATAATAATAATATATAAAAAGTTTTCATAAAATAATTAATAAATAAATTTAAATTTTTGTCTTATATAACTAAAAAATTTTCAGTAAATTAAATTAAATATAGATTATATAATTAATAATAATAAGATTTATAGTTTTTAAACAAGTATAATATTATAAATTTGCTTATTAATTAAAAAATTAGCTTTCAAATTTGAATAAAAAGTTAAAAAAAGATTTAATAATAAGACAAAACAATAATAAAGATAAATTATCTAAATTCTATATCGATTTTTATTAAAATTATTTATTATTCAATTTATAAAATAAAAAAAGAAAAATATAATACAAGAAAAAAATATTAAAATAAAAATAAAAAAATATTTTTTCATTTTGTTCTTATAAGAAATATTATATTTTCAACAGATAAAATACCAATATAATAATTATAACAAAAATATTTATTTGATAATTTCAATATTAATATTTTAATAAGTTTAATATAATTTAAAATTATAGAATTTTAATAAACTTTATATAATTCAAAGTTATTTATATACAAGTTTTAAAATATATAATCAAGAAAAGAAAATAATAAAAAATAAAAAATATTTATTTATTCTATTATTTGTTTTCAAGTTTTGATATATTGAATCAAAATTTATATTTTTTATAAATATAAATATAACAAGAAAAAATATAAAAAATAAATATATTAATTAAAATAAATTATTACTTTATAAAACAAGTACTAAGTTTTTTTTTTATAATAAATTATTATATAAATTCCAATTAATTAATATTATATTATTTTTGATTGGTTAAAAATTTGTAATTGAGTAATATATAAATATTGAAGTAAATAAATAGATAAATAGAAAATAAAATATAATAAAAAACTCTTAAATAAACAATGTGTTTCATATTAAAAATTCTTTCAACTTTTTAACTAAAGAGTAAATACAAAATTTAACTAGTAATATTATAAAAAAAATTTCTTGATAATATTAAAAGTTAAAAGAATTTTTAATGTAAAACATATTGTCTATTTAAGAGTTCCTGCATCATATAAATAAGTAAAAGAATAGATAAATAGAAAAAGTAAAATAATAATATAAAGTGATTGAGAGAATTTTCTAATTAATAGATTATTTACATGATTTCTGTAATTTCATAATTTATTATAAATTATAAAATTAATAATTTATGTATTATAAATATAACAATAAAAGCAATTGGTTTTAAATTCAATTTGGAGATGTTAGATTTTTTTTCATAAAATTTTTTGTGGTTCCATAATTTTGAATGTCACTATATATTGAGTTTTACTTGTAATAATTCATTTACATAGTTTTATTATAATATATAAAAACATGAAGCAACTAGAAATTTGACTTTTATTACTTATAATATTCCTTACTATTATTATTCATTCGATGTCACATTTTATTAGTATTGACCAAAAATTCGCGATTACCGAAGGTTTGCCTGTATACTCTGTCACCTTCTGTAACATCATCAGCTCGACACCATTATCTTTTCCCTCAATAAACATTACCAACTATCAATCTTCATTGTGTTATTTTCGCTCATCGAATTTGAATGCATCTTGAACACACGATCAAGCATATGCGGTTGATGCGCTGCCGTCAAAGTCATGCATTTCTTTTCGGCGTGGTTCAAATAATCGGTCAAAATTGGTCGGTAGTCGGGATGTGCGCAGTGTTTGATGATTGCACGTGCACGTTCGATCGGCGCCAACCCTCGAATGTCAGCTAGACCTTGTTCGGTGACAAAGATATCAATGTCGTGCTCACTGATATTTTTTTGGAGGAAAAAGAGGATTAGAGGTAAAGTTTTTGGAGTGCGAAGAGTAGAGATGTTTTTACTTACGTGTGATCTACGTGGGAACACATTGGAACTATACATGATATTCCTATTGAACAAAGATAAATATTTTTATAATCAGCAAAGTTTATCTGGTATATCTGGCAAGAGAATGATAATGATAACAAATTAATACCTGTAGGATCCTTTTTTGTCGGTCGTACTGAAGGTGTATGCATGATACTTAATTTCGCATTCCGTAAGAAGTCACCGGAACCACCAATACCATTTAACATCTTTGATCCATTTACATGGGTAGAATTTGCATGTCCGTACATATCGAACTTTTCAAAAGCAAATAATGTGAATCAATTAATGATTCAGAATCGGAGCAACAAATGGATGAACCCAATTAATGAGTAAATGATCGATCGAATTACATAATTACCTCAACTGGAGTATTCATAGCAATTACGCCTAACCGTCGAATAACCTCTGGTGAATTACTGACTGACTGGTTTCGTAACACCAATCGATCTTTCATGTCATTCCACATTTCAAAGAACCGTTGGAATCCGATTGGTGAGAATGCGACACTGGTTGCCGATGCGAATTTTAGTTTGTGGTGTTCCCAGAAGTCAAGGAAAGTATCTAATTTTTTTTTAAATAGAATATTATTATTACAAGGGGCAAGTTGATATAGAAGAGAGAAGAAGTGATGGTGTGTGAAAGAATTAACCTTGAATAACTTCAGTCCACACTTCTACATCTACAAACGGACCATCCGCCAGACCACCAATAATAGCATTAGCGATATTCCCAACGCCCGATTGTAATGGTAATAATTGTTTCGGCATACGACCCATTTTTATTTCGTGTTCAAAGAAGTCGAGAATGTGTCCGGCGATTGCTCTTGATGTATCATCCTTTAAGATAATAATGATGTTCAGCATAAAGAGTTTAAGTAATCTTGGAAAAACTCATTGATTAAAAAATCATCTTACTTCTGGTTCACTTTCTGCCGTATTGTCATTATGCCTCGATTCGATGATTGCTACAACTTTGTCAGTATCAAGTTGTATATATGGCTATTCGAAAAAATAATCAGAGCTCAATTCCGAAAAAAATTCAAATCATATTTTTGTTATAAATATAATTACCACTCCAACACGATCATCAACTCTCTGAATCAAATTCGGAAACTTGTATGGCGCAAATTTACTGAGTGTGATATCGTGAAGACCCTCGAAACTCGGCAATATCGTGTTCACTTCAATAATGATATCACGCGCCGATTGTATAATTTCCGGTGTTGCGCCAACAGATGCACCAGGTATGATGTTGCCTTCTTCGGTGATTTTGGTGGCTTCGCAAATCACTACGTCGAGATGTTCCATTATGTCTCCCTGATTATAATTGTTGAGTAAAAAAAATTATTTTTGAAAATCAGAAAAATGATTATTAACTTACTCTTTTCTCTAGTGCATAGTATCCAGAAACCAGATCCTGAAGTTTATTAATTTTATGAATAAATTAGTTTGTCTCCGATTGAATCCCAACAGATGATAAGTAAAACCCGTATCTATCCTTAAGCATACCAATGGGAATTCCGAAAGATGCTTATCGGCAAACTTTATATGATTCAAATTAATTTCTCGTCGAATGTCTTTGCCGACTTGATATGGATAACGGCGTGATATCATTCCATTCTAAGAAGATCAATGTTGATATTTAGTTTAGACAGATTTTTTGAAAACATTGAATGATTTACTTACCCTCGCCCATCTTAATATCAATAAATAAATAGCGTTAGAATTTCCGCGGAGACAAAAAATTTACCGACAATCAAAGCGTGTAGATCGCATAACTTGCCTATTTTCTGTTTCTGAACCAACACTAGCTCCGATAAACAGTTCGAATTTTAATTGCCCTTGAAGATTATTTGCTTCGACATATTTTGCTAAGGCGACAGGTATTTCTTTTGGGTATCCAACACCTGTGAATCCCGACTATGAATCGATTTATTTATTTATTTTCTAATCATTCATATCTAAATTCAAAATATTGATTTATTTACCCATCCCATTCGCATCCCATCTTTAAAATATCCACTTGCGATAAGATCCTCCGCAGTCATTAATTTTGGAAACAAACTGGGTCGAAGAACCCGATTTTTTAATGCCTCAGAGATAAATTTCATTTTTAATTAATCAGTAATTTATAATAACGAAAAATGTAGTTAGCGATCAACAATGAACAGCGAAGAGGAGAAAAAGTAGCAGAAAAAGGGGACATCTTGAAGCTCTACAGTCCGACTTGCTCTTTTATATTTTATTAAAATCACGAAACACGCCATTTTTAATAGCCATGACAGTTTCTATTAATACTACTAATAAAAGTTTATATGCATGTTAACATCGAACGATTTTCCAATTTTAGATTGCATATCGAACGTTTTTTCACATCACAAATAAGAAAGACAATATTACCAATAACATGTTATGATAATAGACAGTATTTTAAAAATAATATTTTTATTTATAATTTAATTAAATAATTTGCTGAAATTAACTTGCCAAAATTAAATCTGAAATTATTTTATTAGTAACTGAAATTGTTTTCCAGAATTATTTGATTTTATAAACTAAAACAAGCATTTCTAGATGATTTTTAAGTATTCATTAATATAAACAATATAGCAAAACTGAATTGCTTGTCAAAATACCTTTTTTTTGAAAATAATCATCTTTAAAAAGAACTATTATAAATTATCAAAAATCTATATTTAAAGATCTTGACCAGTGATCTGTTAAAGATTATACAGAATTTAAGAAATTCATCAAATTATTATTTAAGATTTTTGATTTGATAATATTTAAAATATTAATATTAAGATTTAGAACAGTTGTCATTATCATATTCTTTAAATAAAAACTTACAATGACAAAGATTAGGATTGGTATATCATTTGTATAAAAATGTATATGTTAAGATATTATTGAGTGATCTTTATTTTTAGGATTAGTATTATTCTTTTTTTATTTTTTGAAGATATTGTTATCATGTGATATTTTTAGTACCTAATATAAGATATATCATATTAGTTTAAAGTATATTTCTATTGAATAATTAGTAAATATATAATTTATGAATTATAATCTTTTTTAATTCATATTACCCATTCTATGTTTCATACTATTTCATTTTATTTTAATTATATTTCTTTTATATTTCATAATATTTCTTTTATATTTCATACTAATTATATTTAATTCATATTATTTTTAGTATGAAAATCGATTTTAAAAAATCAAATTAGCTTAATAATAATTAGTTATATTTAAGTGAACATTAAGATAAGTATCACAAGATAATTTATAAAATGAATTAAGTCTCATTCTAAATAGAATAGATTAGTTTTAGATTGAAAAAATCAAATAATGAATAATTATTATAAATATAGTATATATCTTAGTTTAGAAAAAATATTATATTTATATATTGTTATCATTTTGATTGATTTTTGAAATACTTAAAGATATTTTGTAAGATTTAAAGAAATATTCAAAGGGAATTTTCAATATCTTAATGACAATTCAAAGTATTAATAATATTTATAATTATTAAACTGAATATAAATAAGTACTAAAAGTACTATTGACAAAATTACTTAAAGATTGATAACAGTTGTATTCTTTTAATATAATAATCTGAACTACTAAAAAGAGTTCTCAAAATCTCAAAGTCAAAGTTATAGAGATTATAATATTTGTATTATCAGCAATATAAGATTGAAGATAAATAATGTATTATTAGCAATACAAGATTAAAGCTGAGTTTATGAATAATATATTATTAGTAATACAATCTCAAAGACAAATTCATAAATTATAATAATAATTCCTTTATTTAATATAATATTCAATAAGTTTTATTACAAACATGTTCAGATAATTTAGTATTAAAATGATAACTTTATAGTACTCCTGGCAAATATGCTTAAACTACTATAATATTGTTGTAATATAAATTTTAACATATTACATGATTTCTCAATTTATTTTGATTGAATAATTAATTTCCATATGATTTATAAATCATATATATATTTATTTTATATTGTCACCGATTCAATATCGTCAGTTATTCCATATGAAAACACGTGAATAGAAGACGCAGTAATGATAAAATATTGGTCATAATAATATTTGGATTACGTGTTTAGTTCGATAACATTCTACTTCTTTCTTTTTCTTTCTATTTTATTTTTTTTCTTTCTCGTATCACTTATTTTTCTATAATTATCTCATTGTTATCTTTATCTGGATATATTAATTACGTCATTCTCTTGGCAAATCTCATCATTTTCTATATTAGTTTAGTCTTTATTTTATATTTTTGCTATTGGTACTTAGATGTAGAACAAGATTATTAA